GACTCATCGCGTTTGAGCGCGGTAGGAGAGTAGAAGATTGCGTCAAGGGAGGACATGTGTAAGTGACGCTTTGCTTTGATCAAATGTAAAACATCGCAGTGTCCAGTGCCCTTGGGTAGTTGAGTTAGAATGTTTTTGATTGCCAAAACACGTTTTTTTCAGCTGCTTAGGTCACATTTGAAAATTTTTGGAACAGATTTTCCTATGTGTGCACTCCAGCTGTTCATTGGGGCGTCACCTAATAAGCTGGATTGGAACATGCCGGATGGTCATCCATGGATTATTGACCCGGCGAGCGGCAATTTTTACCCTCGTCTGTACTTGACTGAAGCAAATTATTCCTCAGAATGTTCGGTTTATCATGGCCAATGATCAGAACACCTCCCATAACGGCCAGGAAATGGAGCTTTGCATAATGTATGGAATCGTGCGCGCGGAAACCCTGGCATCGATTGGCAGTCGCCCATAGCCAGAACCCATGCAGTTTCAATGGCATGGTTGGAGAAAAATGCTGATCCCATGGACACCAAGTCTGAACGGCATGGCAAGGTACGTCAGATCAGCATGTTTTGCGGGGGCTTCCCTGGGGATAAATGATTTCAAAACGGTTACTCAGTACACTGCCCTCAGCATCGCAACCCTAAAACCACGCAGACACTCTGACCGGACCCAACTTCGTGCCATGTTCGTGAGTTCACAATCGCTGCTCGTGGAGGAACATGAGCAGACGGGGGGGGGGGGGGGGGGCGGGACCAAGTGGCTTCAGATGACGGCCAGTTCATAATGGTAAGCTCCAGTTCATAGTTGGTAATGGTAAGCCAGTTCATAATGGTACGCTGCCCCTGATCGCGCAGAACTGCACATGCGGTGGCCCACCTCCGGCTCCCTCCCTGTGAGGTTCCGGGTGTCATGTGGGGCGTGTGACGGATACCCAGCACATACGACACGGAATGATGGTTGATGTCTGTGGATATCTTTTGTGCATACAACGACATAACATGGGACGAGCAGGATATGTATTATACACCCCAACACGGTATCTGTTGGTTCTCGTATATCTATTACATACGAGAACAACTTCAGTCCCTTCGTCACTTATTCTCATAGTTTGCTCAAGTGTAAGGATGTCGTCCGTAAGCAAAGTACAAAGTTACGGCAGTTAAAGAGGCTGGGCTGCCTTAAGAAATCGTCTTAAGCCTAAACATGTAAAAATTTGCATCTCCCTGATGTTTGCAATTTCCTTTTTTGTATGAGTATTTTTTCCTCGTGTTTTCAAATTTCTGTGAAGTTTTGGTCCTAACAGGGTCCATTTCTGGGTGATACCAGTAGTGCGCTGTAGCACATGGCTCTTGCACACAGTTTCACGACCAAAGACAGAGCGTACAAGTAAATACTCCAGGCTTTTATCTTTTCTTTGGCTTGAAAGATTGCTTTCTGTTAAAAAAGCTTCCTTGGCTCTAGGAAACATCGAGTCAGGCCTTTTTTGGGAACGCCTAATTTCGTTAAGTGCGTGGTCGACCACAAGCTTCTTAACTGCTTTAGGTCTGTTCTATGTAAGATGTGGAAGCTCCGGGTCCTGGAAACGGAACCTTCCCAGAAATGTGGGAGAGGAAAATGCTATTTTAGGCCCATTCTTTCCATGCAAGACCACAGGCACGACTGATATTCTGAGATATAGAGCATGCAGCAGCATTCGCAATTAAAGTTGAGTTGCACCCACGCATGCAACAGTGCGTGTCCATTTTGACTGATTTGCTTGTGTTTCTGCCCGGCCATATTATGGCGAAGCCGGGCTACACATTTTCCTGAAGGCAGGCGCAAATAACCATTGCAGTTGACGAGCCCCGAATCCTAACGACGCACTGAAGACATTCTGAAGACATTCTAACGACTTTCTGAAGATGCCGACCGTCGGGCGAGGGGGACTTGAGCTATCACTTACCTGCCAGATGTAAGTTTGGAAATGACATTGACGCATCCTCGTACCCTGTCACGTGCCCTATTGGAGCCTGTCACGTGCCCTATTGGAGCCAGTCACGTGCCCTGACCTCGTGACTGTGGTTGTGCTCCATGCAGATGGCATTGGTCACACGCGGCGCCCCGTCCAGTACGTCGGCGGGCGGCCTGTGGCTGGCCTGGGCACTCGACAGCCTCAGCGTTCCATTGGGTCACCCACCCTTGATTCAGCGAGTTGTAATACCGTCTGCCTCCGGCCAAAGCCGGTTGAAGGATGTGTTACGAATAAAACGACTTTCGTTCTTTTTCCGAAAGGAAACCGAATCATGTGATTCCAAAAGGTACGTAGTTAGCCGCGCGGCAAATACCGGGCGACGGAATATTGTCTCGCTTGTGCGCTTTCTTTGACCCGAACGCTATAACATAAGCCGAAGGGAGGGTGGGATGGCTCTCCGGACCAAACGGACGGAGTTATGGTTGGAGTCGTGCTGAGCGGCTCCGCACAAATGGTCGATTAGTCGGCTCAAAGCACAGCTAACCGTCATTTACTCCAACAACTTACAACCACATCACCCGGAGCATTTTAGAACTGCGTCGCAATTTTTCTCTCAAACTGAGTCAAACATCAATTTATGTATCCCATAGAACCCGTTACCTCGCGCGTTGTTGTTGTCGGATCCGAGTCTTTCGACATAGACTTCGTTCTGAAGGCGGAAATGAAGACGGGATCGCGGACGACTAAAATATTAATGTCGTTCCGCGTTGGGTGATAGTCGAAGTTAGACGCTCGCATGGTGTGACGGCCCAATGTGATGGCATCGTATTGGGATGAAATCCGAATTCGCGGTTACTCGTAATCAAAAGCACGACTTGAAACGTCGATTGTGGACAACACAACCGATATAATTTTGTAATGTCGGTTAACCAATACCTCCTGGTTAAAGGTCGATAGCTCAGCATAAGAACTCTGAAGCCATTTTGTCGACAAACCATGAGTTAGAGGTCTTTCTTACTTGCCTGGAGCTGAATTCCATCAACAAGAGCAGAATTAAGCACAATTGCCCCGGCTCTCAAGGCTTTAGACCTTAGTTTATGATCATGTACATCATTATGATGTTTGATGACCTCCGCAAGGCATTTAAACGCCACAAGCTGTTTTATTGCAGTGGTCAGCTCCTACCAAAACGGCCGAGGCCACCTGCAGGTTCGGCATAGGGAACGCCGATTTATTATATAGAAGTGATTGGCCTCAGCTGGGACGCCATCTGGGTCACGCTGGGCCCGTGACCTTTGGTCGGGGTCGTACCTGGGTCGGTCGCGCGTCGGCTCAGTCGGCCTGGTGCCGTCTGGAAGCCCGCAGCTCATGCTTTGATGGCGAGAGTCGATAGTCGATGTGTCGGCCATCGATCGATTCCGGTTGGAGGGGTGGCGTGGCGACTTGAGCGGAAAGTTCTCGGCCCGGTGTTTCTCGGTCGGGCGACGTCCTGCGTGACGGTGGGACGGCGTGACGCGTGACGTGACGGGTGCGTGGCTCCGGGGCCGTAGGGAGGGGGGGGGCTCTAGGGTGGGGCAGAATACGAAGGGTAATTTTGACAATCTCTAATGCAATTGAACGTGCTTTTGCCGTTGGATGCGTCTGTTATGCTGGCAATTGCGATAGTTCATTACTAATGGACACTCGAGGCTCAAGGTCACCTCCATGTCGCATGGTCTCAGTGACTGTGAAATATGTGCCGTCCAGTAAGTGGCTCTGGTACCCGCCTATGCGTGTTCCATCGTCTATTCGGCGCCGTTATCATCCAGGTCTGCAAATGATGAGGCCTGGTGTGCATGTTAACTGCTCTTCTTCTATTACGGTCCGAATGTAAAACCGAACTGCCTGCAGCTGCGCCAAACTCACGCTCCAATGATTCGAAGCCAGTAACCGTGCTTCACATTTGCACCACTTTTCCCAACAGTTGAACAGTTCTTTCCCCTTTAACTTCCCAAATTTCCATAATTTCCCGTGGTCAACGCCCGCATGTAAAAAGCGAGTGAGGACCGCGGCTGGAAGGAGCGCTCGGCTGCACTCTGAGCGTCGGCTCGGAGCCGGCTCAGCGACATGACTAGCCTGGCGCTTTTGATCAGCGGCGCGGCGACGGGCGGGGCGGCGGCGCGCGTGCCACTAGCCGACCTCTTTTGGAGTGTCGCCCGCCCGGGGGCTGCGGTCGATCAGCTTGTGAGAAGTGCCACCTTTTGAGCACGGCGACGGCACGGCACGTTTACTAATTCAGTCGGTCACCTCTGGCGGCGGGGCGCCGCCTCCCGAGGCGGAGCTGGCCGGCGGCCGCCCTCCGCCCCCGCGGCGGGGCGGGGCGGGCCGCGCGGCGCGCCGGTTTAGCGCGCCGTCCGCCAACAGAGGCCCCAGTGGCCCCGCCCAGGGGCGCAGCGGTGTCGACTGAATGGTAGCTGGCGAGCGACGCCGGGCGCCGAGCGGCTGTCGCTTATCGGCGCCTTGAGACGTTCCTGATTAGTTACGCGCCGGTCTATCGAGCCTGACGTGGACCGTCGCACCGCCGTCGGGGAAGGCCGCGAACTGTTTGGCGTGACGTCACCTGTTCATCGGCGGCGGTGCGCCGCTTTTGTCTGCACATCGATTACTGGAGTGCGCCGGTGTTGTCGAGAGACCTCGCCTTTCCAACTGCGCATGTGGGCTGTTGTGCGGACGTCTTCGGAAATGCGGCCAAGAATGCTGACATGCAGCATTAACACGTAGCTGATGTGACTCAGGCACGCGTTGCTTGCGTCTTTTCTGGCCCATTATGTCCGACGTAGTGTTTTGGTTCCAGCTCTCCTTATCAAATACCCCGTGAGATCCGACTGTTTCCGAGTTTTGTGGTGTCCTGCTGCGACACAGTTTCTTTGCCTCTGACCTCAAGTCCCCTGGATTTACACTCTATGGCTCCGTTCGCCGAGGTTTCTTCCAGACCGCAGTCTAGCACGCACGAGCGACGACTGCCGGCGGCCTGCTCCGCACCGCCGCTCACCGCCACGCCCTGTTCCAGACAACAAGGAGAAGTTCATCCTGTACCTGACGCTGAGCGTGACTGGGGGTCTGCTGCTCTGCCTGCTGGTGGTGATCGGCCGGCTGTACTGCCAGCGCCGGCGCGCCCGCCAGGAGGTGAAGGCGCACTACATCGAGCCGCCGCCGCACGGCTTCACCGACGACATCAGTGAGGTCGACGCCGACATCGACCTGGGGCCGACCGTGCTGAGCGCCGGCAGGCTCTCGCCGCCGTACGGCGGCCAGCGCAGCTTCAACGGCAGCGCGCTGGAGGCGGCCGAGCCGGCGCGCTACGCCAGCTCGGGCCGCGGCACGCTGCGCGACCACGAGCACGACACCAACCCGCGCAGCCTGACGCGCGGGGGGCCGAATGTGTACTACTACAGCTAGTGACATCTGGCGCCTCCCGCACAACTGACGCTTGCGCGCGCGGCCGCTGGTGGGCGACCCGCGCCGCGCCACGGGTCCCCCATGTCGCCGGGGCGTGGTGAGGGGGCTGCGAGAGGCGCTCGGCGCCCGGGCGGGCGGGCGGGCGGCAGGTCTAGTGTCGTGATTGCGGTGCCCCGCCCATATCACTATCAGAAACAGCGCGGGGCCGACCGGCCGCCCGCGCCCGGTGCCGGCAGCCGCGGCGGCTCTCAACTCTTGCCGTTACGAGTGGAGGGTGAAGCTGCTGAGCTGTGTCCTCAGGGATACGCTTGACACGGGAGCCAGCTCTGCGCGAGTGAGCGCGTGCATCAAGTGCCTGTCTGAGCCGTTCACCGACTGAGTAGCCTAGTCTCGCGCTGTTCGCACCGTCTGTTGACCCGCTTTTGTGTCGGCGCCGCGGTCGGACCGCGCCTCCAGCTGCTGTCAGGTGTTCGCGGCCCCATCCGACCCGACAGCCCGCAATATCTGCTCGCATTCTGTACATAGCTCATTGTCCTCATAGCTGGGGCGGCCGGCGCCGGCGCCGCCGGCTGATGGGCTGGGTGCGGCCGGCCACCCGCTCGCCAATGTTATCTAGTCGACATGGATGGTGCCCAGAACCCGCGCGGTCCGGGGGGTCGATGGGAGCCGACGGTGGGCTCGGCGGCGTTTTGTCCACGCTGCCCCCGATCGAAGAAGGCGGACCACAAGGCGGCGCACCTGTACAAACGGGACCGCGGCCCCAGCCGCTGCTGTGCGTGTAAGTTATTTTTTGTTTGTGTCCACGGATGTACCGAATACAGATGACTTTGTCCTTGAATGTTCCATGCCCAGAGGAGCGTTTTGGTGCCGTGTAATCAGATGGCTGCTACAACATGCATGCAGCGTTTTCAAGGCAGATCGATGTCTCCTCCTTTCCTGGTCAAGCGATAACGATTTGGTTAAAGAGCGCTGATGAAAACGAGCACACGTGTCATTGTCATTGTGATGTCATGCTGGCGGGAATGAAGAAAAAATCGGAGTGGATTGATCCACGTCTTCCTCAGACTAGGTGCAAAGTAACCGTAATAAACGTTATTATCGCAGCAGGAAGAAAGGGTCCACTGCAAAACTGACCTCTGCAGCCGCAAGAAGCAGTATTATTTATCAGCAATTGTAAGCGGTAAGGTAGCGCACGCGGCAACCGACACCCACGCGCGTTGTTGCTCGGTGCGACGGTTGCATGATTTAATGATTGATAAGCGATATCTGACATTGCGACGCCAGCAAGATACAAGAGAACTCTTTAAAATCACTTTAGGTCATGGTTATATGCGTACTTTGTGGTCTGTCGGCAGCCCTTGCAACTGGTAATGTTCGTTATTCATTCTCTTCGTGCACATGTTCTGCAATTCGTTAACTGCAGAAATTGCGATGTATTTCACTTCTGGGCAGTGCATACAAAAATTTGATGACTCTTAGCGCCCTGTAAAGCGCCTACAATACTATTACATCAGTACATTTGTCAGGTCGTGCCAACCATCTACATGCCATGACTTGGCTTGAAACCAGGTCCTGAAGTACTTGCTTCTGTGCGCACAGCCACTATCTGTACTGTTCTTCGTGGAAGCCCTCCCTCAGTCGAATGCGTAGAAATAATTACTTTTTCATCATTCATCAGGTGTCTTGCTGTTGCCAGGAGATTACGTTTTACGCTGCAACGAATCCGCAGCATTATTCCTTAACATTAACACTGTGGCATAAACACGATGCATTCCATATCACAACAGCTAGAGTGGGGATCTGAAGCCCGACAACGCTTAGGAACGTAGCATTACGGGGCATCTAATGCAACCATGTAAAAAAGCAATCTTTCAGTACTTCTGCTTCTCTTGGGTCTGGAAGGATAATCTCCGAAAAACACAAATGTGTCGTTTCGGACAACAGGTTAATTTGGGTTGTTGGGAACTGTTAAACCCTATGCCTAATTCATCTTAGATCGGGTTCGGTTTTATCGTCGCGTGTAGTGTAGTTTAGTTTTATCGTCGCGTGCATGTCAAAAGTCATAAGATTCGCACGCATCCTACACCGGTTCAGTCAGTATTTATTCCACTTGTGCGAACTCTTCTTAATTTTAATACGGTCTCAATGTCTCATAGACAGCACATACAAAATCAAGCTTAGGAACTGGGAATTGCAGGTGAACATTGGAAAAATGTCCTCCGGGAAAGATGAGCTTGGCTCCTCGTCTTTCGGGACGCTCTAACACCTTTGCAAACGAAGCCAATTTTCATCTTCCTTTTCGGAAACCTGAAGCAAGCGCGTGGGAACGCACACTCCAGGAATGTCAGAAGAGCACCCCAGATGGCGGCACGAACCCTTGTGAAGTGCGCCAGGCGAATGGCCGACCCTCGGCGACGCATCACAGCCAATGTTTTGGAGTGATGGAACTCGGGGACCTCAGGGGAGCCCGTTAAAGCGCTCAGCGGGCGGCAAGCTGTTTTCGCGCGGGCGTAAGGACCGGGTATGCTCCAGCCTAATTGGTCCCTAATTGAACTGCAGACGTGAAACAGAAAATCAGTCTGGTTTCTACAAGACCCTCGACGCCTTAAGACAAGCCAGTGGTTTTCAAGTGAAATGAATAAAATGACGAACAGAAAATTTGTGATTCATGTACATATACGGAGTAGCAGGTTGGAAAGAAAATGGGCATGCAGTCGTGGTCTGAATCATGTTTAGTGCAAGTTGCATAATGCATTTCTCATTTGTTTAAAACGCAAAAAAGTTATAAACACATTTACAAGCTTTTCATTTGCTTATAATACACGATACAAACTTCTATAAAACCACATTTATGTAATGCACGTTCATAACACAAATGCACGTAATGAATGTGTTTTGCGTTCCTATTTTTGGCAATACATCCGACACTTCAAGATGATTCAATGTGTCTTTCTCGAGCGGGTCAACATGTACATGAATTCATGGATTTTCCTTTTTAGAAATAGCGATGGACACTTTGCCATTTGTCAGTCAACTTTAATACAGGAAGATCAATGCACATATCACCATTTTCAACCGTCCGGCTGTTATGTATTGTTGAATGACAACACTAAGTAATTATGCTAGCATCACAAATGCTTGGATATAGGGTGCTTGAGTGAGGTGCGCGAGTTAACGGTATAGCCTTCAGTGTTGACAGTAGCGGACCAAAATTTGCTTCTCAGAGGGGAGAGGGGAGGGGGGGGGGCAGATGACGCCAGCAAAGTACTTTCGTTTCGAAAGCCAGTCATTGGGTGCCAGTCGCATTTTCCCTCAACGGATGACTGCTGAATCAGTCTAGCACAACAGACATTAGGTGTTCCACGCTCGCAATGAGCTGTTGTATATTATTTCTACCTCCGGTAACCAGGGACACAGCCAGGACATTCTTAAGGGGACCGGAGCTCAGTGAGCACTCATAAGAGAAGCGAAGGACCCGTCTATGGTGCTTGATTAAGCAAAGCGGGCCTGGGAGGTGGGGCCACGCTCCCTTATCCCCTGACCGAAACTCTGCCGGTAACAAAATATGCGTGTCGTCAGCACGCGGGTTCACGCGTCTGTGGCGTGTAGCGCCAGACCGTGTTGGAAGAAATGGAATTCAGAAGAGGCTCATGAGCCTTTCCCCGATAACCACCATTTTGTTAAGGTAGCTGCAAGGGCACGTTGTGTGCCCAGGCGGGCGCCTTATCTAATTTGCAGGGAATATCTACAGAGACAACTTTCGACCCATTAGTATCGGTAGTGTCATGTAAGTTGACTTGGGAAAAGAAAAGTTGATGATCCACACGGTGAAAGCACTAAATCGATGAGCGCATGCAGGACGACGTCATTCGCAGCTATCGCGGCATGCGTTTTGCTCATTATTCCAGTAAGTGCGCTCCGCGCGGAAAAGTTGATTCTGTACCCGTGCTGTTTCTGATCGGGCAAATCGAGTGATTGGTGATTATTGATTCATCAGTGAATCCTGGTATATTCATAACTCAGTATAACAGATACACATGAATTCAAGAAAATGTTGTACCGGATGTCAAAGTTGCTAAGTAGCTTGCTGATGTGCGTAAAATTGCAACCCATGTGCAACACATCCCTCAGTTATCCAAGCACAAGAGTCTGGCGCCAGATGAAAAGTAATTTCAATTTGGACGTCTAGTACTCCCGACCGGCCGTACTCGGAATGGCGCCGCCATTTTTCGATGGCATCCCGTCGATGATTTAGGGCATTCCGGCATTCTCCGTGGGATGCGCACCTGGCGTTGCGGCCAAATATGAAGTGCAAAGGTGAAATATTTCTATTGAGGTGAAAAATGGAGAAGTTTTGGGTCACTATCTTCCACTCATTCCAGGAAAACATGAAGTAGCATTTGTTTGTAGCCTTAATCTCCTGATCTAAAATTAGTTACGTGGCTGATGATGGCAAAGGCTGTACAGCATATCATAAATTTCACCAGCAGTAAGTAAGGATTTCAGGAGCTTTTAGCGTTGGCGATACTGCGGGGTCGTTCGTCTGTAGCATCGTACATGCTTTCACATTAAAGAGTTTCCTTTTGAGCATCATAATCATACCACAGCTTAAAACATATATGTTCAAGGTTATGCCAAGTCAAAATGAAATCAGCTCAATGTCAGGTCAGGTCACTGGACGAGACTCTCAGTTCCTCCAATTCGTGTGACTAGTAACAGTAGTCATCGCTCTGGAGACGTGTCAGCTATACCAACTTGTTTAAAAGAAGTGGGCGGTAGAAATCCATTTGGTTTGACGCTAATATGAGCACATTAGATCTGTTGGTTGCCTGGTGCGTAGTATGACTTACCTAACTGACACACAGCCAACCTAGTCAACTGATGGCGGGAACAAAACAAAACGAGAACGTAAACGGCAAATTACGTCTCCTGAACACAAATATAGCTGTACCAGTCTTCACTTATGACGGCATAGATCCGTGACCTGCTCAAACTGCCACATTCTTCCCAGAACGTGAAAAAGTGGTCACTTGACAGATGCCGAAAATTTAGTGGACCTGCTTGAAATGGTTTGGAAACTTCACCATAATTTCAAG